AAGGGAATTAACCTTGACTTCGAACTCGGCTTTCTGTTCAGTCTGCGTCTCGCGGAGTTCGGTATTGTGTTGCAGGAGAGTTGAGTTCCTGTCCTGCAGAAAGCAAATGTAGCTCTTGAGGCTCTTTATGGACTTGCCAGAGCTATCTCGAGCTTCTTTGGCCAGAGGCAAGAATTCGACCAAGGCCTGTAATCGAGCAAAATAAGGCAATTCAATCCATATATCGAAAAACAAAGGCAGGAAGGAATCGATGTAAATATAAGATAAGTAATACCTGGGCAAGCCTTATCGCCAACTTCGGGCAAGGTAACGCTGGCCTTCTTGCGGTCTTCCTCGAGGAGAGCACCCTCGAGGCGCTCGGCCACCTCATTCACGGAGGCCGACAAAAGGGATGTCGACTTTGGGGCCAACGGATCAGGCCATTGATGGTTGATACGCCCTCGCTTCATGACCACCTCACCTTGGTCAGTACGAGAATGTTTCCCAAGGGAAGCCTCGTGCCCTGCGCCATCTGGACCACTCGACTCGACCAGTGCCTTGGTCGAGCCTGCGGAGTGAGTCTTGGAAGAAGAATGGTCGAGAGGAGTTTTGTCTGGGGTCTTGGCTTTGGATGAAGCGTTGGGTTCGGAAGACTTGTCAACGGCTTTGGAAGAAATGACATCCTTGGAATTGGAAGCTCGAGGATCAGTCTTTTGGTGGCGGTTATCGGACTTTTTTATGGCGGTCGTTGTGCTTTTTATAGCGGTCGTCGGGTTTCTGGTGGTGATCGGAGGTCTTCAGGTGGTGATCATCAGCGTTGGAGGTGGTCGAGGACTTGGCGACGGCGGCCGAAGTAGGAGAGGGCTGAGGAGTTTTATCAGGAGGAGGTGGAGGAGTTTGGCGCGCTTGGTGTTGTTGTTGCTGTTGTTGTCGTTGTTGAGGCTGTTGTTGCTATTGTCGCTGTTGAGGTTGTTGTTGTTGAGTCTGCTGTTGTTGTTGTTCCTTCGACGGTGGTGGTGGAGGTAAGGGAGTCTCTTGCGGAGGTGATCGCTGCTGCGGTTCCGGTCGAGACCCACTCGAGGTGGCCGATCCATCGGCCTTGTCGCCAATTGAGCCAGAGGTAGCCCCTGACTTCTTCTTTAGATGGGTCTTCCTCGGGGTAATGTTGAAACTAAGCACCTCTGCAACACAATAATAAAAGATTAGATCCAACATCGATGAGGGATAATTAAGACAAACACAGAGGAGTGCCAGAACATCTGAGAAATCTGGTCGAAGATTACTTGGGTCATTCTCGATCCGGATAAGATCGAGGATCTCATCACTTGAGGGAGGACAGGTCTTGTGGGTGAGAAGACCACAATAATGGAGAAGATTCTCGTCCTTGAGAAGTGTTTCAGACCCAACGGACTTGGAATTCTAAGTGTGGATCCGTTGGTCGAAAAGGGCGCTCGGAGGAGGAGCCGAGGCCGCCTCTTGGGAAACCTCCTTGACCTAAGGGATGGAGGGCCAAGGGAAGGGGGCAGTAGGCTGGACAAAGATGAATTTGTCACTCCACTTAGGGAGGTTGGAAGGAATGTCGTTGATGAAATGGGCACCATTCCGACTCTTAAGGTAAAGGCCTCGACCCTGTTTGGAAGGAGAATAGCAGTAATGAAAGAAGGCCAGGTCGAATTGGCCTAGGCGGACGCGACAAAGGATAATAAAAGTGGTCATGAAGCGGATGGCGTTGGGGGGAAGTTGATGCAAAAGAAGCGAGAACCACTCGCAAATGCGAAGTAGCTCGGGATTTAGGAGAAAGCGAAGGCCAAGTTTAAACTGGATTTCGAAGAAAGTATAACAATCTTTGGGTGGACGATCGTACTTGTTAGTGGAAGAAGAGCTGAGAAACAACCAACCGCTGGGGTGGCCGATCTTCTCAGGAGAATACCAAACATGGGAAAGAGAAGGGCGCTTAATGGAAGTTATGCGGGGATTTTTGGTCGAGGCTTTGTCAGAGGGAGAGTTTGAAGCACCAGGCTGAGAAGAAGAAGGAGGAATGATTGAGGAAGGAACAGAAGTGGGTTGAGGAGAAATAACCTCGTCCACCTCTGGATCGTCTAACTCGCCAAGGGCAGGTCGACGACGGTGGAGGGGGATATTATCCATAGTATCCCCTGAGTTGGAAGAAGCGACACGAGCTGTAAAAACGATGGTAGGGACAGTCTCGCCGGGACGAAGAATTGAAAGTGGAACGGCCTCAAGTGCAGGGGGCAAAATCTGAACTGAATCAGAGGAAGTGGTCGAAGAAGGAGATGGAGGTGAAGGATCTGACAAAAGAAAAAGAAAAACAAAATCAAAAACTTTCGAGGAGGGTGAAGCTTTGAAAAATTAGGGCTTTACGAAAGGGAATATTTTCGAGAAATTAGAAAAGAAGAGCAGGGGTTTCAGAAAATTTTCGAAGGGAAAGGGCGAAATTCACAGGTGATTGACAAACAAACACCGACACCCAACATACTAATTCAAAATACTCAATCAGCACACTTCAAACACCCAATTCAAGAAATTCAAAGCGCAAAATCCTAGACACGGGAAGCATAAAATCAGATAAGGAGCAACTTACTCATGATCACAGATGAGAGATGTGGAAGAACGTAAAGATCGCAGGAGAAATCGCCAAAAAAGATTAGGGTTCCTGCAAAAGGGGTGTTTGAGCACAGGAGAGTTCGAAATTGCAAAGGTGGAAAACTGAGAAAATTCTCTAAGTGTGGAATTTATACTGGGGAAAGTTAAAGGGTGGAAGATGAAGACCGTCAGATTAAAGCCAGATCTAACGATAAAGAGCATTAATTTACACAACACCCAAAATGGGTGCGTTATACGAGGGGGCGCCATCATTAAAATGCCTGACAAACGCAACAGACGCGACGCGTGGCAGAAAAGCAGGCGCGGCAGAAAGGACATGTGACAGGCGACCTTATCTCTGGCAATTAATGAAGTATTATTCGAAAAATAAGCGGGAAATCCATCAGATGGTCGATATCGGACACCATGCTATCCAGGAGGTCGATAGGCACAGATTCACTCTTAGATCGAGTCGTTCAGACTCGACCAGAGTGGGGGGGACTAGATGATATAAGATATTATAACCACAAGGTTAAACTGATTTATTGACCGGTCGAGGAAGTCAAGGAAATCGAGCAGTTAACCAGTCGACCAGCAAAGCTGTCGACCAAACTATCCTTCGACCAGATAAACGATCGAGTATTTCAGTCGGCCTCGACAAGTCGAACACTTTGAGGACTTAACGCTACACTGATAGGCCTAGTCACAGGCGCCTGAGAGAGCCTCTAACTGAATTTCAGGAGAATATTTACCCCATGTGCAGGGGGACAAGTGTCGAGAAGGCAGTGGTTGATAGTGATAACCACCTCTGACAGCCTACCCCATGTGCAGGTGGACACGCGTCCAAAGTGGATTGGTGCAGGCGACAGTGGCGACGGCTACCTCTGACACACGCGTATGGTGAGTACGGATGGGCAGTTAGGGCAGACAACTCATCAAATCCGGGCAGCCCTAGGTCAGGTATCTCACCCCTATATAAAGGGGGTGAGCCTTTCTTCTTCAACACGATCATTCTATTACTTACTCTTGAGAATTGATTGAATATACACTGACTTAAGCTTCGGAGGCTCTTCACCGGAAAACCCCTTCGGTGTGAGAGTTCTTTGTAGGTGCACGACGTTCAACCGGCGAGAAGGAAGACGATTATTCAAGTTCCAGCCGGTCGGGAAGTTTTGTGTTACCAGATGTTATTTGTTAGGGATGTGGGGAAGCACCTGAATCCATTGAGCACACTTTCTTCCATAACCCTAGAGCTCAGTTGATGTGGAAGCTAAGTCCAGTGAAATGGGAGGGAGTCAGCTCTGAAGGTTGCTTTTTCAGATCATGGTGGTGGCATTTATGATTTTTAAACAAAACCTCTGTGGCCGAGGAGAGAATACAACTTATAACCTACCTTCTATGGTGGTTTAGGAAAATCCAGAAATTTATGGCTGTTTGAGGGCATTATGATGCCTATCCAGGTGGTAATCTCCAAAGCTCACCAGGCCTGGATGGAATTCAGGAATCTGAGGTAGTTGAGGCTCTGATCTTGCAGTTGTAGAGAGTTAGTTTGGCTTTTGTTTTCTCTGTTGTTTAGTTGTAGGGGCAGTTGTATTTTTTGTTTTTCGGTTTTTCTTCTCTTAATTTCCTTGTGGTGTGGAGATGGGTAGTAGACTAGGCATTTGCATTGGTCTGTTATTTCTCTTCTAGTCAGTTGCTTTTAGTCAGGTTCTAGACCACCTTGTTGCGAGTCCTCTCATCATCCTTATTTTGTTAGGTTTGGTTCATTCGACTTTTGGCATCGGTTTGTATTTGAATGGTGTTCATTTTGTTTTCTTAATATATTTCCTCTATCGTTCCAAAAAAAAAATGAAATCTAGAGAAAAAATAATTTTAGAATTAATTTTATATTAAGAATAATTTTTCCCTTATTTTTGTAATTAACACTAAAAATATAAAAATGTGTAATTTGGTGCCCTTGTCATTTGTGGGTCCTGGACGTGGGCCCCACTTGGCCTTGAGCCGCCTATTGCTGTATTATTATTAAAATTCAAGGAACTATTGCTCCATTTCAAGCAAAAAGTACAAAACCACTCGAGAATGATAAATGAGAAGGTAATAAAGAACTACAATTTAACATTTTTATTATTATTATTATTATTATTATTATTATTATTATTATTATTATTATTTATTAATTTTTTTTTTTTTTTATCATAGTTCATACACAATGTTACAAACTAGTCGATGGCCACATAAAAATAGTTCCATCACCCATTACCAAATAGAAATATAGAAAAATAAAAAATAAAAATAAAACTACTTCTAGATTATTGAAAAAAACGTCAGCCATGTTTTTTTTTTTTTTAATAATTATTCCACAATTTTGTGACCCAAAAATTTTCCCAAAATCGAACCAAAGTTTCCAAATTCCGCCCTCAGAAATTCCAAAGTGAAGATGACGAAGCCTCTGAATATAACAACTCCTCGTTATATTCGGGCCAGTAAGCGGGCTCGGGCCCGACTGGCACCAAAAAATCGCCAGAAAAATCGTCAAATCCCGAAAACATCCCGAAATCGTACATACCATCGTTCCCCGTCCCCAACAACTGGTGTAGGATATTAACGTCCGGGGGCATTCCGGTCATTTCGCTGTCGGCCCGCTCCGAAATTGAGGGGCAGGGTGACCCAAACGACTCGGACCGCGATTCTGGGCCGAGGGTCCGGCCCGAGATTCCATCGGCGCGTGTGTCCAGTCCGTGTGCGAACCTGGCGGCTGCGGTCTGTATCTCAGCCGGCGCCATTGACCGGCCTCCGGCGATCTCCGGCGGGTCATCGGGGAAGTTGAATCGGGCCGCCCGGCCGCGGAGGCAGAATAACGCGGCATCGAAGGCCCGCGCCGCCTTCTCGGCCGTGTCGTACGACCCGAGCCAGATCCTTTCCCGGCTGTTGGGCAGCCTGATTTCCGACACGTACTTTCCCCACTTGCGCTTCCTCACGCCCTTGTATTTGGCGGCGGCGCAGCCGCCGGAGGACGACGGCTGCTCCTCCTCCCTCCTGTCCGGCGAAGACTGTTTCACCATAATCAAGATTCTATATTTATCCCCTTTCTTTTTAAACTAATCTGAATTTGGAGACAACCCTTTTGATTTGATGTTGATGGGGTGTTTTTTCTCGATTTATTTTTAATTAATAGTGGTGATTGAGGTGAGCTTGAGTAGAATGAAAATGGCGGCCGCGCGTATATATAGCGTGAGGAGAGAGTGAGTGAAGGGAGAGTGTGGGTCAAACACGAAAAGAGGGGAGACGGGGAGCGCGTGGGGGAAAAAGTGAGGGCGTGGACACGTGGATAAATAAAATAAATTAATGTAAATTAGATTGTGTTTTGATAATTTGATATACGCGGTGCTATTGAGGCACATGGGGAAATCGAATAACATGTGGCCAAATTCGGATGGGTCGAGGAAGGAAGAACCACATGTTGTTTTGGATAATGTAGTAAAGAATGATTTAAAATAAAACAACATTTTTTAATATTGATATAGCATACAGGAATAGCTCGGCAAATCGGCAAGGACTTTACGAGCGGGAGTTAGTTAGGCTACAAGTTCTGTGGAATTAGTAGCTCGATTAGGAATAGCTCTGATCGTACCGATAAGGCGTTGCGGTAGCACAACACTATGGCAGTTCGGCCTTGTATAAGTAGTTAGGTCATAAGTTCTGATATAGCTTGGAGTTATGAGGAGCCAGTAACCTGGTATAGTAGGAGATCGGTTCTAAGGATAAATATGTTCTGTTATAGCTTGGAATTATGAGGATCCAGTAGCCAGGTATAGTAGGAGCTTGGTTCGAAGGTTAATCTGCTTCGTAATAGCTCGACATTATGATGAGCTAGTAGCCCGGTATAGTAGGAACTCGGTTCGAAGGTTAATATGCTTGGTAATAGCTCGACATTACGAGGAGCTAATAGCCCAGTATCATAAGAGCTCTGTTCAATAAGGGCTTGGTCTACCAGTTGTTATGCTCGGCATTTTGGGAGCTAGACATTAAGTGATTTACATAAGAGTAGTCCAGCGTGAAGGGGCAGGGGGTCGGTTGAAGGGGAGTCGACCTGTGGAGGTGCTCTACAAGTTGTGAACCGAACTATAGAAGTAGTTACAAAAGATAGTTCATGGAGGACACGTGTAGAGCCAGGATTGACGGAAAATATATGATCCAATGGAGAGTATTGATGAAGCTAATAATTCCATATAAATAGGTAAAATGGTAGAATAGTAAGGGTAATCAAACTCTTCAAACCCTAATACTAATTACAGTTACATACAACTTTCTTTTATTCTCTACTAGTTCGAGCGTCAAAGGTTTATCGCCGGGAAAACCTCCCGGCGTATTTGCAGGTCTTTGGAGAGCAACCAGTTGAGGATCGGAGGAAGGCCCGTTTGAGGTGCAGGAGCACATCAATTGGCGCCGTCTAGTGGTGTAACTTGTTACATACGGATTGTTCACGAAGCTAAGATGGAGAGGATGATTGGAGAAAAAGAGAAGTTGAGGAGGAACTTGAATGCTAGCCTGAAGAAGGCTTGGGTGGTGATGCCGCCTTCGGGAGGAGGAACACCGGTTAGGGAAGATAGAGGTGCGAGTTCGATGGTTACCCCTCAAATCAACTTTGCAGGAGGTGCACCAGATCCCGTCGGCGAAGCTAGATCGGGGGTTGGTGAACTAGGGGAGTGCCCAGAAAGTGGTTGTACAGATGCCTGACCAAGGAGTTGTGCAGGGAAGAGGTGAACTGGAGATGCGGGTGACTAGAACGGAGTTGGACCACCTCATTGCGGAGGCGGTCAGTAGGGCTTTTGTGGCGCGAGCACAGACGGTGGTGGCAGAGCAGCTGGAGTCAGTGGTAGGTCACTTGGATGGAGGCGCAAAAGTGATAACTCTTGTGGTGAAGCAACATGTCCCGACGGTGTCCTGGCCGTTGTATGGTGATAGTCAATGGATGGATTAGCGAGAGGAAAGGTCGGTGATGTCTCCAATGGTTAATATGTCATCTAGAGATATGGCACTGGAGCAAATGGCGTATCAGATCAGAGAGCTTTCTGCTAGGGTGGAGGGGAGGCGACAACCCAGAATGCAAGGCCATCCATTCACCGACGAGGTTTTGGGTGCCAAGCTACCCTAGAATTTCATGGAGCCTAGCTTAAACTACGTTGGATCTTCGAACCCACATTTGAGAAGCTTTGAGAATGTGGTGGTGGTGCATCGCTACACTGATGGAGTATGCCTTTTTTGACGATATTGATGGGCTCTGCTAAGAACTGGTTTCACCAACTGCCACCACGATCTATTTACAGCTTTGGGGAGTTTAGCTCCCTGTTCATCAATCAGTTCTGTAGTGCGAAGAAGCATGAGAAGACCTACCTCACATTGATCAATATGCAGCAATGCAAGAATGGGTCACTGAGGGGCTATGTTGCTAGGTATACGCGATTTGTGTGAAGGTCCCCTCAGCGTCGGAAGAGATCAAGACAGGGGTCTCATGCGAGGCTTAAAGGCGGGGCACTGCAGGAACTCCCTAGCTATGAAACCTTCTAGGTTGTATGATGAGCTGTTAGAGAGGTGTACCAAGTATATGAACATAGAGAAGACGAAGGCGGACTTCCTGACACGTGATCGAGCTAGGGGGAAGAAGCATGAAGAGAAGCATAGGCCGGATGAGAGGAGGTCTAAAGGTAAGGAGCAACGAAATGAGGAGAAGGGACGTATAGGTTTCAAGTATGAGCACTACACGCCACTTACATCACCATGGGGCAGGTGTTTGAGACTTTGGAGAAGCGAGGAAAGACTAAGATGTTTGTGAAGCCTCAGCCTTTCCTAAGAAAGTAGGGAAGGTGCCGGTACGAGGAGATTCATACTGTAGGTACCATTGTGACTATTGGCATCGAACGAATAATTGTAAGGAGCCCGAGGTTGAGATTGAGAGACTAATACGAGTATTTCACTAGAAGGAGTTTGTGGTTCAGGATAGGAAGAAGAAGGATGATTTGGAGGGAGGAGAGAAGAAGACGAGGCAGAAGGAGCAGGGAGAGAGAGCTCCTAAAGGGG